CCTCTCTCTCTCTCTCTCTCTCTCTCTCTCTCTCTCTCTCTCTCTCTCTCTCTCTCTCTCTCTCTCTCCCTCTCCCTCTCCCTCTCCCTCTCTCTCTCTCTCTCTCTCTCTCTCTCTCTCTCTCTCTCTTTCTCTCTCTCTCTCTCTGTCTGTCTATCTATCTACCTATCTTCCCCCATCACTTCCTCTCTCTCACTCTCTTCCCCCCACCCTCTCTCTCTCTCTCTCTCTCTCTCTCTCTCTCTCTCTCTCTCTCTCTCTCTCTCTCTCTCTCTCTCTATCTATCTATCTATCTCTCTCTCTCCGCTTCTCTCCCCCTTTACTTCGGTCTCCTTTCCCTTCTCTCTTTGTGTTATGCAATGCGCGGAAGTTGCATCAACTGCAGGCTGCAAGACCGAAAGAGTGAGTAGTAAAGTAGGGAGGGAGAGGCAAAAGCGAAAGAAAAAAAACAGAATGAAAAAGAGAAAGAAGAAGAAGAAAAAAAAATAAAGCGCTATTACGACGGAAATACTTGGCCTGATTATTTTTAGTGCCGTAAAATATAAAGAAAAGAGAAGAAAAAATAGAAGGAAGATGCGTTTATGAAGGAAAACGAAAGAAAAAGTTCCTGTAAACTTTCTCATTCAAGTCAGTAACGGCAGGAGGGGGTGGGGGTGGAGATGGGGGTGGGGGGGGGAGAGCTCAATGTTGTCGGGAGAGGGGGGGGGGGAGGAGGAGGGGAAGGAAGAAGGGGAGAAAGAGGTAATAGGAAAATAGAGGAAAGATATGACTGAGGAGGAGGAGCATGAAAGGGGGGGAGGGGAGATATGGAGGAAGAGAAAGAGGGTTTAGAGTAATATAAAGAACGTGGAAAAGGAGAAGGCAAAGAATCAGAAAGAGAGAAAAAAAAGAGAAGTATTAATAATGATAATAAGTGAGAAGGAAGAGGAGGAGAAAGAGAAGAAATATGAGTAAGAAGAGAAAGGGAAGAAAAAAATAGGAGAAATAATGATAAGGATGAAGATGAGGAGGCGGGGAAGCAAACGAGGAGAAGGAAGGGCAGAAGGAGAGAAGGGAGGAGTAGGAGGAACAGGAGGAGAAGGGAACACGTGATCAGTGTTATTTACAACCCAACCACCTCTTAAAGACTGTCGGTTTCTGCCTCTCCGACTTGCTAACCTGTTCCTCTCACATCTAGTCTCTCCCTCTCCTTTCTTCATCTCTCAGGCTCTCTTCCCTTCCTCGTCTCTAAGTCTCTCCTCTCTTTTTCATTTCTCAGTCTCTTACCCTTCCTTCTTTATCTTTCAGTCTCTTCCCCTCCCTTCTTCATCTCTCAGGCTCTCTTCCCTTCCTCGTCTCTCAGTCTCTTCTCCTCCCTTCTTCATCTCTTAGTCTCTTCTCCTCCCTTCTTTATCTCTCAGTCTCTTCCCCTCCCTTCTTCATCTCTCAGTCTCTTCTCCCTTCTTCATCTCTCAGTCTCTTCCCCTCCCTTCTTCATCTCTCAGGCTCTCTTCCCTTCCTCGTCTCTAAGTCTCTCCTCCTCTCTTTTTCATCTCTTATTCTCTTCCCCTCCCTTCTTTATCTCCCAGTCTCTCCCCCTCCCTTTTTCATCTCTCAGTCTCTTCCCCTCCCTTCTTCATCTCTTAGTCTCTTCCCCCACCTTCTATATCTCTCAGTCTCTCCATCCTTCCTCATCTCTCTGTTTCTCCTTCTTTCTTTATGCCTCAGTTTCATCTTTGCTCTTCTACGTCTAGTATCTCGGTTTTTCCTGTTCCCTTCTTCGTCTAGACTCCTTCTGTTCTCTGCTTTGTCCTGTTTCTCGGTTTTCTCTTGGTCCCTTCTCCGTCCAGTCTCTCGGTCTCTTCTATTCCTTCATTCACCTTGTCTCTCATTCTCTTACGTTGCTTCTTCGTGCAGTCTTTCAGTCTCTCTCTTAGTCTCCCATTTTTCCCATTTTCGTCGAGCCTCCCCTATTCCTTCCTTTAGTCAGATTCTCTTATTTCATTCTGTACCGTACCTCTCATGTTTCTTTGTTTCTTCCTTCTCTGTTTCTATATTTTCTATCTTATTTATGTTTTTATTCCTTCTTTCTTTGTTTTGTTTTTTGTCCCACTCTGCCCAACCAACTTTTTTTGTTTCTGTACATTGTATTTCATTTATCTGTCTATCTATCTATTTATCTATCCGTCTTTCTATTTTTATATCTATCTATTTATACTTTCCCTTTTTTCGATTTTAGTTCTATTTTTTTATATTCTCATTATTATTCAGTTTATCCAATTATCCTTCATGTCTTCCTACGCATCGCATCGTTATCATCAACAATTATTTTGCGTTTGTTGTTTCAAGGTTAACAACAATCAAGATGAGAGTGACAATGATTATTAATTTTATCATTACCATCATCACTTTCATCACTACCGTCGCTGTTACGTCACCATCATTATAATTACTACTTTTACCAGCCTTGAAGATATTATTACTCTTGCAACAGTGCAGTTAAAGTTTGCAAATATGTCTCTTGCATTTCCCTCTTTTTCAACGTGACAAGAAGTACTCGGAGTTGCATGTCAAAGGTGGTTCCGGGCTCAAAGCGTAAGAAGGAGGCATGGAGGGGGGGGGGGGGGGGAAGGCGATGAGGAGTGTGTGTGTGTGTTTATATGTGTGTGTGTGTGTGTGTGTGTTTGTGTGTGTGCATGTGTGTATGTGTTTGTGTGTGTGTTTGGATGGATGTATGTGTGTGTGTATATATATATATATATATATATATATATATATATATATATATATATATATACATATATATATATATATATATATATATATATATATATATATATATATATATATATATATATATATATATATATATATTTAAGCAGAAGATAACAAAAGGAAATGGACAAAACGAGAATTTCGGCAATAGAGAGAGAAAAGAGAGAAGAGAGAGAGGAGAGGGGAGAGAGAGACAGCCAGACAGACAGAAACAGAAAGAAAGAAAGAGAAAAGGAAACAGAAACAGAAACAAACAGACAAAAACAGAGAAAAAAAACGAGAGAGGAGAGAGAGAGAGAGTGAGAGAGAAAGGACAAAATAGAGAGGGAAAGATTAAGAGCCAGGGTTCAAGGTAAAACGAAGAACGCTGGACCCACAGGACGACAAAAAAAATTCCGTAGATGGCTATCTGGTGAACAGGTAACCCCATGACGGAGTCCGAGGTAGACACAGGTAGATCGGGCGCCCGGGGAGAGAGGAGAAAGGGAGAAGGTAGAGAGGGGAATAGGAAGGAGAGAGGATAGGTTGATGGAATGGAAGAGAAGATAAGGGAATAGGAGAGAAGAATGAGAGGAGAAAGGGAGAAGAGAAAGGGAGAAGGTAGAGAGGGGAATAGGAAGGAGAGAGGACTTGGATAGGCTGATGGAATGGAAGAGAAGATAAGAGAATAGGAGAGAAGAATGAGAGGAGAAAGGAATAATAGATAGGGCAGGTAGAGAGGGAATGGAAGAGAAGATAATGGAATAGGAGAGAAGAATGAGAGGAGAAAGGGAGAATAGAAAGGGAGAAGGTAGAGAGGGGAATGGGAAGGAGAGAGGACTTGGATAGGCTGATGGAATGGAAGAGAAGATAAGAGAATAGGAGAGAAGAATGAGAGAAGAAAGGAAGAATAGATAGGGCAGGTAGAGAGGGAATGGAAGAGAAGATAAGGGAATAGGAGAGAAGAATGAGAAGAGAAAGGGAGAATAGATAGGGCAGGTAGAGAAGGAATGGAAGAGAAGATAAGGGAATAGGAGAGAAATAGGCGTTGGATTGGTTAATGGAATTGGAAGAGTAGAATGAGAGGAGAAAGAGCAGGTAGAGAGGGGAATGGGAAGGAGAGAGAATAAGTTGATGGAATAGAAGAGAAGATAAGGGAATAGGAGAGAAATGGGAGTTGGATTGGTTAATGGAATAGGAAGAGAAGAATGAGAGGAGAAAGAGACAATAGAAAGGGCAGGTGAATGGGGAAATGGGAGAGAAAGAGGACTTGGATAGGCTGATGGAATAGGAAGAATTGGAGGTACCCGAAAGAAAGTAAGAAGGATGATGAAAAAAGACAAGGCATACATAAGCGAAAATGGAAGTAGAATATTGTAAATAATGGAAAAGAATAAAAAGAAGAAGGTAAAAACGATTTCGAAAACAGGTTTAGGGAGAGAGAGAGAGAGAGAGAGAGAGAGAGAGAGAGAGAGAGAGAGAGAGAATAAAGGATGAGATGTGAACGAGACAGAAAGTAAAAAGAAGACACCTGACATCATATGTTTTATGCTGCCATGATTTCCATAGCTTCTTTACCATCGCCTTAATGCAAAACCGTACAGATGACCGTAATTATTGCTTGCGTGACCATTATGC